GATGGATGGATGGATGATGGATGGATGGATGATGGATGGATGGATGGATGGATGGATGATGGATGGATGGATGATGGATGGATGGATGGATGGATGGATGATGGATGGATGGATGGTGGATGGATGGATGGATGGATGGATGGATGGATGGATGGATGATGGATGGATGGATGATGGATGGATGGATGGATGGATGGTTGGTGGATGGATGGATGGATGGATGGATGGATGGATGGATGGATGGATCATATGGTATTAGTGTGTTTCTGACCAATAGGACCGATATACTGTAAGGTGTGCCTTCAGGTGGCACTGGGCGAACCCACTGACCAGGTAAGGCTCCCTCTGTGTATCCGTTGATGGTGTATTTGACGTGGTCATCTGGAGAATGTCCGTTTGGGCTGAACAAACTTTCTTTCTCATCAAAGACTCCAAAGAGAAGAACAAACTCCCTGTGAAGGCCAGCCTGCTCCCCCAGCTCATCCAAGGTGCCTTAAAACAACAGGGACACCAGACAGCAGCGTCATGGAATATTACTTCTTACAAAGCAGGAGAATCTGGTTCAAAGGTTAAGCACAACACTGACCAGGTTTACAGATGAGCAAGGCACCAATAAGGCCAGAGTTGTAGTCCTGCACCACGTTTCGGTGGGAGATGTAGGTGTAGGTGAGACAGTTGGGATCATCGGGCAGCGGGGACACTTCCTGAGTCACCTCCCAGTAGTAAACATGTTCCCTGTTAGGTTGCACGATGTCGTCCTCTTTCTCTCTCTGTGACGTGTTGTCAAAGTAGTTAGCTCCTGTGAAAAATAAAACAAGAAGAGAAGAACCTTCTCCTTTAATTACATAGCCGCTCAGAAGATTGCACCCTGTGCATGGACCTTTAAAGAATGCCTCTGAAACGCTCTGAGCAGCTGTTAATCAACGACATGTTAGTCACATTTTCAAATATATGCGACTCGTGATCTCCTGTGTGAACTGCATTCATGCCGCATGCGCAGTAGAGGACGCAATGACGTCACAAGCCGGCTGTGACCCAGAATAATGACCTTTGTTGAGTATTGACGACGTTCAGGTCGGATTAATGCGACCTGGCCTTCAGTCACAGGTCGCATTTGAAAAGATCAGATATGTATTGGATTCAGGACCACAGAGCCAAGTGGCGTGGATCGCATTGGTAAACATTGGATCTGTGTCGTTCAGACTGCTATGGAAAGATCAGACCCAGGTCGCATATGAGCAAAAAAAATCGTATTTTGGTCACTTCATGCTGCTGTGTCAACGTAGCTTAATTAAGGCTACATGACCTTTAGGGCCATTTAACATTAAATGTACAGATTGTATTGCTTGGTATTTAGGGAAGGTTTTCAAAGCAAAGGTAATTGTACGATATATGACTAATATGGCTAAACCTGGCCTGACTAAAGAACAGTACCTAAAAGTGTTGGAATTGTTTCGGTGCTCTGATGATCCCAAAGGCTATGTTAGAGGGGCCTAAATGCCCCAGATAGGATCTCCTAAATCCGGGCGTACACTGTACGATGTTTTGCACTTTTTGGGCCAATTCTCCAGTCATGCGAGAATGTTTCGATTGGGCTGACTTTCAGCCTGATCTTGTGTCATGTAGTGTACAGGGGCTAACAAAGGGCGATCAGTTTGAAATTCAGTCGGCCGTCGTAAGGTGGTCGTGGGCAAATCGCTCAGTAGGCAAACAAGATTCTTCTTCTTCCTCTCAGAGGAAACCCCAGCAGCATGGCTGGGGTGCAATGATTTAAATGGAGGTCTTTCTGTCAAACTGACAGACCGTAGTAGCCATATTTGCTCAGCCATGTCTTTGTCCGAATACGTCGTCTCCTTTTCTTTTTAGGGCTTTCAGCACAAAAATGCCCAAATTGCCAAGGTAGCGCGTTTCACTCTAGTGAGCTTCATGTTCTTCTTCAACTGGTTTGGCTTCCAGATAGACAAGTCTGAGTAGCGCCATCTCACTGCGGAGCTGAGTCCCACCTGGTTTTTAGACATACAGTGTGAGCAGGTAGATCAGGACATCTGTTCCAGGTGGGCCCTGGCCTTTTACCTTAGAAAAAGTTTTGACACACAAGTCACAGGGAGGAGTCCCAGCGGACAGCCCAGAACATGCTGTGTGTTGGCTAGCCCTGGAACACCTCAGGATTCCCCCGAAGAAGGTCTAGGAGGTGTCTGGGGAGAGGACGGTCTCAGCGTCTCTGCTGAGTCTACTAGCCATTCAAAATGTCCCCACTTTCATTGATGGGCCCT